AGCCATGGCACCTCACCTTACCTAGTATCAAACGCTGAAAACACTACAGATCTCAGAATCCCTCTGACCTGATACAAGAACTAAGATTATTCCAGGGACTTCACAAGACAAAGTCTAACCCCTCTGCCTTTCCAAAACATTTGTAGGCTTGCATTTTTCCTAAGAAAATGCCACTGGCACAAGCCAAAAGGATGACGTGTATCAACTGCCAATCACCTGCCTTCTTCTTCACTTTGCATTTGACAAATCCAGGGATTCATAACAGTTTCCCATCGGTAATTTAGAGGTTCCTGCATCACATCTTGTCTAGACAGCCTGGTTACGACCTAGTAACACTTTGGGATACTATGGCTATCATCTCAATAACCTCATTATGGACAATCGTACTTCTAGATCCTTAAAGCCACTGTTCAGAGGTGCACTGGGGTGGGAAATCGGCTGATTTCCTCAAGGTGGAGAACCCTTGGTCCCATCCAGCCGTGACCTACTCATGAGCAAACCCCTGCAGACAGTCACTGTAGTCTGTGAGCAGGTGTCAGGATGATCCCCTGTATTCCTGGTGCTCAGGGCACTATGGAAAAAACATCACACAGCAAATAAACCTACTGCAGCTTTAGGGACTCGCATTTTGAAAGCTTCCAAAGCTGAAAGAAGTGGCAGGCACTGCAGAAAAACAGACCTTTTCAGAAACACACACACATATATATATACAGACACACAAAAGAAATCCTATTTCTAGCTTTGGAGTGCGTATATTCACCTTATCTCCAGTGCAGGACTGCTTGTCAGGTTAATGCAGCTTCAGGTGGTACCTTTCCCTGACAGCACGATTTCAACAGAGTGGATAAATAAAGATTTTTAGATTTATCTCACTGTTTTAATCCTGCTTGCCCACAAAATTTAGACAAATGGAAGAAAAAGGCAAGAGGGCTAAAGCGTGTGTGCATGCCTGTGAGCGCAGCAGCCGGCTGGGGGGAGAGGCTGTCAGCAAATTAAAACACTGCAACTCAACTGAAGTCTTAAAGAGATGCTGAGAGCAAGTCAGATGGTCAATATTTTAAGGTAAATGTAGTATTAAGTACAAATATCGACTAAAGTTAATGACAAGCTGAGGACAGCTGTTCTGTAGGCTCGTGTAAGAAATACTATATAAAGGCTCTCTTCCACAGCTTCATTTCTTGTAACAGAGAAGGTCCTGCTCAGGCAGGGAGATTGGACTAGATGATCCTTTGAGGTCCCTTCCAACCCCTAATATTCCGTGATTCTGTGAACAGAGAAACACCTGAACAGAGAAACATCTTCAGGACCTTACAAGGAAACACTATTCCTTTCCTTTAAAATAATACTACCTCAGAGAAACGTTGGAAAATCCATATACTGCAATATGACCTGGCTCAAACACGGCTTTTCATCCCTGGAACTCACAAGTGTTCTACAAAGAAAGTCAATATCATCAAGTGCCTTTTCCAAACTGGAGCAGATGGAAGAAAAAAGGGGCATGTGTGAAGGTTACCCAGCAGGCCAGCAGCACGGGGGGAATAGGAGGCTGAGGTGGTGACAAAACGGTGTATCTAATACAACCAAATTCTAAAAATACAGATGATGGGGTGGGGGGGGAATTCAGAACATAGCAGTCCTTGAGGACTGCTCTTCTTATCCAAATCCTGTAAAGTCTGTCCATCCAGCGTTGGATTCCATCCAGCCTGGTTCTCAACATCTGCTGCACAGGATTTCCTAACTGCTCTGAAGTTTCAAGAACCACCAGAAGCACCCAAACAAACCAGGTCTCCAATAAAAAAAAAAAAAAATCACTTGCCTTTCTGCTAAACCACAAAAAAAGAAACAAGCAGGTTTAAAAAGTAAGCAAAAGTACAAACCATAAACGTAAAAAAGGCGATAAAAGTAGTATCAAACAAAGGACTAAAGCTACTCAGGTGCCCAGAATAAACTGGCAATGACAGAAATATTAAAAACAGAGTTTCTGCCCTACCTTATATTTACAGTATAGGAGGGCACTCAACCTCCATACATTTAGAAAGATGTTTAGTTTATTCTGGCTAAGAAAAAAGCTCTGGAAACAAAGCACTTAGATAAATTAATAATAAGCACTTTGAAATATATTGTGGATGAAAGCAGAGAGGGAGATTAGGGATGACTTGAAGATGTTCATCTAACTGTGAATGCATAAATCACCTTTTCCCAAAGTACAACATCACGTACGGGGGCAAAGAGACAAATGAATAAGCACCACCGATGTGTCGACTGTGTCAGAATTTCCAAAAGTGGTGCTAGTCTCAGCTCACCTGGCAGAGCATGACATTCATTTCCAGTGACAAAGCCTTGCACCCAGTTGGGTCTCCAGTTGTCTGCCACGGGAAGCAAGGGAGAGCAGAAAACAATCCAGCTATGTCCAACTTCTCCAAGCAACAACAAAAGCTGAAGTCTGCAACTTAAACAGCAACTAGCCAAAAACTAAATGTGTTATGCCACTATGAGGAACTCTTCTACAACGTCGAGGGGGATGCTCTGGGAAAAGGGTGAACCAGAGGCTGCTAAAATGCAAAATGAAGGGAGTAAGGAAAAAAATCTCAGGCTCAAAATGAGCAGGAAAAAGAATAGAGTAAACACACTGGTTAACAGAGAATAGAAAGTGACAGTGTTGAACACTCTCCTGTAAATATTTACATCTTGTAAATATTGCCTTCTGACTGGGCATAAGGCAGGGGTTGAAAGTGGAAATTTGGTTCACTCAACACAGCAAATATGAGCAAGTGAGGTTTTTCTACCCATCTACAATGTATTCAGAGGACCACGAGGTCAGAACAACGCTGTAAGCACAAAACCATTATACAGACAGGTTCGGTAGACTTTTATGTCGCCCTGTGCTTCATCACACTAAACCACCGTGCAGCACATCTTAGATGTGAATTTTCTTGTTTGTCATCCTCTAAATGCCTTTTTTACAGCCTGGACTGCTCAGTTTTTACACTGCTGGCACAGAGCTGTGCAAGAGGACATGTTCTAAAAAGCGAATTACTAGCACAGCGAGAGGAAGATGATGCACACGTGTAGGCTGCAGGATGGAGCTGAACACGGAACTCCGTCCATGAGCACAACAGCCCTGGTGAGAATGGGGAAAGTCAGGTCAGGTGAACCTTTCCTTCACTGTAAATCAACAATGGGAAAAAAAAAAACACCTCAATAACAAATGAGGTATGCCAGCTAACTTGTGTTACAGGTGGAGGCACTGAATTACAGACTCACATTCCTGAGACACACCTTGAGGTTACAGACAGCGCGGTGTCGAGCAGTGATTTACACCAGCACCCTGGCTCTGGGGTGTCGAGCAGTGATTTACACCAGCACCCTGGCTCTGGGGTGTCGAGCAGTGATTTACACCAGCACCCTGGCTCTGGGGTGCTACGAAGCACCCTGGCTGAGCAACACTGATGAGAGCAGACAGGGCTCTCAAACAGGCAGCAGCAGCAGCGTGAGCTGCTGGCCAAGGTGGAGAGAAGGAAAAAAATACCTGCACATAAGCAAAATCATCCTCAGGAAGTGACAATTGCAAAAAGTCACAATTAACAATGGATTATTGAGGAGGCAAGCAGAGCGGCAAGGACAGAAAATACCAGCAGACAAAAAGGCTGGTGATGCCTAAGTTTGGGGTTGCTGGGTTTTTTTTTTAACTTGAAAATAAAGTTTGGAACAAAATATTATCATTGTATTATATGGGGTTTGATGATGCCTTTAAAACAGTAAACCATAGAACTTATCTTTGTTGCCCTGTTTAAAATTAAAATAAATAGCTGGCTTGTAGGGAGATTATTACCTACACATTTTCTGAACGCTGTGCAAAGAACAGTTAAGCCAAAATCTATTCCACGTGACCCAGTCAGATATTAGTGGTGCTTGAAATTTCAAATAATACTAATCCACTGGGATGAAGACCCCTCAGCCCCACACATCAGATGGATCTGGCCACCCCTCGTGCTGTTGCTGCACTGCTGGCTGCAGAAAACACACGGCTTTTCCAAGCTGAAGCCCTGTCACTGCCACACGATCTGATGAGAGGGAAAAAGTGTCACTGGTGCCACATCACAGTGAGTAATCTTAGCCATGCTGCTGGACTGGCCCCCGAGAGCATCACTGCTGGCCTGGAATGTTCAGACCTTCCCCCTATCCCAGGTCTGTTGCAGAATGTAATTTCCTCTTCGGCTTAGTGTGCTAATGAGGCAATTTAGAAAAATCTTAAAATAACAAGATTCCAGACAATCTTATACTGGAACAAGGTAGGTCAAGCTTCTGTGAGGCAAGAGGACTTCACAAAACCACCTAATCAGACTGCTCTATTTGGCTGCTAATAAAATAACATCTGACCTTTCAAGCTCGGCAAATGCTAAAGGGAATCAGGAAAGTGGAACTGCAGGTACTTAACTCACTCCTTTAAAAATAAAACAAATATATTAAGGTACTACAGCTGTCTGTGGCCCGCTGCCCACTTGTATTGCCTTCTGTAAGCATGAGAACAGCACCTTTGTGGTTGCTTTTCTGCAATTCTGTTCCCTCTGATGTAGCTTTCAGGCTGATGCTTTATTTCTGGAGACTTAGCCAGCATTTTGCTAAAAATCGTGTTCTTCCACAATGCTGCATGCTTCAAAGAGCATGTTTTTACCAGAAGTTCCCTTCATGCTCAAAAGTCTTGCTGAAAAAGAGGTTAATGCAGACTGAAAATCGTCGTGACATTATAGACTTTTTAATTGGTTACTAGAACTGCTTTGGGGCACGTATTAATAGGGCAGAAGCGTTATGCACGTTCCTTCTCTCCCTCCTTGACAAACTGCCAGAGGAAGGGAAGTATTTTGGTCTTGTTGGAAGCACTACTCAATCCATTTAAAAATCTGAAACTCGGGGAATAGAAATCAATGCATAACTAGAATACGAGTAGATTGTTCAGAAATTAAAACAGTGCACACAGAAAAAGCCACAAGGTGTTTTACCATAGCGCTGAGAGTCTCCTCCCAGTCTGGCCTCTCTCTGGGATGGATGCTTCTCTGAAGCTCTGGCACAAAGTCATCCTCTTCTGCATGGACCGAGGACTTCATCATTCTGGAAAAGAGGACAGAGAGGTTTGATACTCTTGACAATTTCCGAGTAACTGTACATACAGTCTGCTGTGGTGCTCAGTTATGTGGCTCACGACAATATAAATGATTTTGTAAATCCAGAAATCCTACAGACTTCTTAGTTTCCCTCATTATACAAGCAGGACAAGAGTGTAACTCTAGGAGAGAAATCTGCACTTCCTAACCAATCAATGGATAATTTTGTATAATCAGTGTACAATTTGCAAGTCTTACAACACAGAAAAATACAGAGGAGCAATTTTCAGTCCATTTCAAAAAAATTGCTTCTATTGCCCCGGCAAACAACATCAGCCTTACAAGAAGAAATACACACATTTGCTTCCTTAGTTGTCACTGCATGTTTTGCCTAAAGCAGAGATAGCAGTTTCCATATCTTACTTATCCCGAATCCACGCCCCAAGGCGAGAGCCATCAGCTCCCAGAGTTCTCACTGATCCTATCTGAAGGGTGAGCACATCCAGCCACCCCACCTCTGCAGGGATGCGCTCAAATCGCTCTCATTTTATCAAGATAAACTTTTCTTCAGATAAGGAGCCATTTTTCAAATACCCTAGGAAGTATATTTCAAGCCTGCACAGAGATCAGAGGCTCAAAATAAAAATGTGGAAAGCATTCCTGAGAGCTTCTCATCCTATCCTTAGGACAGCTCTGCTGGTGCAGCCAGAGAGACATTATATATTGTATTGAGGCCATATAAACGTGTCTTTGTGGGGCTGATGGTGCAGACCTGGAGTGCCAAAGGCCTGTTTGAAAAGTGTTATCCACATCCTCTGGTGTTATCCATTCTGGTTTCACTAAATATGAGAAATTATTATCTCCCATATAATTTTATACCTAGCTCTCCGATCATATTTCTTCTCTAATAAGACACACATCCCAGAGAATATGGGACTCAAACCCAAAACTCATAATGCCTCAGGCTAAACCGTTTCATGTGTCATTCCCACCGCAAACATCACCAATGGAAAGCAGCTTGTCCCTAACGAGGTAAGGAAAAAGATGCCTACGTGGTGAAAGCTGTATAAATCTGCAGGAAAACACCACTATTTGGAATGCAGAGGTGCAATGGAGCTCAGATGGGACACTCCCACCTTTGCAACATGTGTTCCAAAGAACTGGATTTTTGTAAACCTGAACATTTCTTGATCAGAGTGGCGGCTCTTTCATTTCTCCATCAAGAATGTGAAGACTTGGCCTGTTTCTCACAACTCCAGCCCTACCACATGAGGAGTTTGCCACTTATTTTAACTGAAAGTTGAAACCTGGTTGCAGAGGAAACTTGATCGTGCAACTCAAAACCAGGAGATAAACTAAAAAAAAAAAAAAAATCCTTGTTTTTTTTTAAATCACCCTTGTGATTTTGAAAAAGGCACAATCAGGCTTTCCTCAGGATTTCTAGATGTTTGGGTTTGGCAACACTGCAGTTGTACAAAAAGATTCTAAACAAATCATTCCACAGCAGCTTTAGTCTAATGCCATGGGATGGCATTTAGTCTTAATTCCATCGGGTGATGGAATGAAAGGAAGGGTAACATCATCAAGACCCACCTTTTACACTATGGTTAAAACAAACAGCTGAAAATAATGAGGTTGAATTTACATCTTTATCAGCACTCTGGATTACAAATTAATTTACCACCCAACCTCTCGGGCTTATGGCAATTCCTCCTGGATTTCTCCAGGAGTGCAGAGAGGAATACGTTCTGGTTTAAAATAACCCTGGGAATCAGGCTCATGTTCTGGGTCTCTGCCCTCACAGTGGACAAACATGGATGTCGTGGTACCCGGTTGTTTTTGCTAGACTCCAACCTATTTACTAACATTAGTTGTTTAATCTGATTATTCCTCCAAAACTCCATGATAAACTCTTCCCAAACCCTTCCCACTGAGATCCTGAAACACTATCCCATTATTCTTCCTATTGAAGGCGTTCTGGATGTTCACTGGAAATAAGAAAAACTCTGTGTGTAAAATTCAATATTTAACACAGTCAAGTCTTTGAGCATTTGCCAGACTTGTTTAACAGAATATTCTACTGCTGATGGAAACTAAATACTTTGTCGCAGAACCACAAAAATACTGGCAATGACACTGCAGATTTTCTCTCTGACACAATTATAAACACTCGATAACCATCTGTGAACCTTTATTAATCTTTAATAGGAACTATTTAATCCCATGCCACCCGAGACAAGAGACCTAGGAAGGCTGAAGATGCTACAGGTAATATTAGTTCCTTATATATCAAGTGTAGTGGCTTTTTCCTCCCTATATCTGATCTGGTCGAAGGAAAATAACCTTTAGGAATTAGCAGCGATGAAAGATGGGCAGGAGTAGGGCCAGAAAGGAGGAAGAGGAGGAAAAAAAGCAGCTACTCAAGGCACTCTCCTTTTCACACTGTTTCAACAGAATTTACAAGAGCTCTGCGTTCTCAAGGATGACACGGAGAATGAAAGCGAAGCTCAGGGTCCCAGGGACCGATCCACAAGACTGGCATCCATCTGCATCAACACTTCTAAGCATCATTTCTTCACGCACCCTCAACTCATCTCCTGGGCTTTCTGCAGAAACTCAGCGATTCCTTTTCAAAGATGCAGCCCTGTGTTTTGTTGGGAGCCCCCACTGCGAGTCCCCAACTGGGAAACCAATGACAGAGTAACTGGGAAAGAGATATTCTGGTTGCAGTCGCTGAAAGGAACATCAGAAAGGTCCTCTGGGCATGTCAAACCTTAGGGACACACAGCTGGGGAAGGAGCTTTCCCGACTGTCCCCTTGTGATTGTCCCAGACCTTGTGATTTTCCCCGGCCTCACCCCAAGACAAATTGTAATAACCATATATACACACACATATATGTATGTATAATTCTATACATGCCTTTTATATGAATGCACATTACCTGTTTTTGACATTATTTTAATTTATAGAGCAAATAAGTAGCACAACATACATATGTCTGATTCACCACACATGTCAAGCTGTAACAAAACTAATTATTTTGTTTCTGCCACGGATTCTTTTTCACGGGAAGGGGAAATACCCAGAGTCCCACCAGCACTTTTACAAAACACCAGTGCACGTATTTTGTAAAAATTAAAGGCCAAACAAATTAAAGAAGCTGCTCTCTTCTGTAAGGGCTACGTTTGGACATTTCATGGGACTGAAAATTCACTGCAAAATTTAATATCAGCCATGAGAACAGAAATACAATAGTATTTAAAATGCCACTTCTTCAACTGTTCAGTAGCTCTGCACGCCCTTCAAATGAAAGCTGACACCATCATATTAATAAAAGTTGTGGCTGTACAGAGGCCATTAAGCAATCTCTCTTCAGATGAATGAATCCTTCTTCATTGTAAATTGAGAATCAAATGTACTGGAACAAATGTTTACAGGACATTTCACGAAAGGTCCAGCCCGCGTTCACACCCATCCTTTAAAGTCCTCTGGTAGGTCAAGTTGATAAATTTCAAGCCAGAGCTAGTGCATGTGCACCTGACACAACTGTATCAAGAAAACACCTAATGCCCTTTTTCCGTGTTTTCAGCTCTAATTTGCTGGTCCCGTCACTGATGGTGGGACCATAACTGCTTCTCAGGAATCAGAACATTTCAGTGCTGTTCTCCTGACCAGGCTCTCCTACAGTCCTGCGTTCTGGAGCGTGAAGTCCTCCTTGGACACACCAAGGAGCGTATTGCCATGTCTCACAAGGCAGAAGGCACCTCGAGTAGATAAGCACGGGTGCTTTATAGGATGAGTAAATTAATGTACGGCTTGATGTCCATAAACTCTACTGCTGCTTTGTGTTTGTAACACTGGAAATGTTAAATACTGCTTCCACTAGTCAAGAACTTTCCCTGTGGGTTTGAAGGAGTCCCACATCCACAAATCCCTCCTCCATCTGCATCCCTCATCCCAGGGCTGGAGCACCTCTGCTATGGAGACAGGCTGAGAGAGTTGAACAGCCTGGAGAAGAGAAGGCTCCAGGGTGATCTTATTGCAGCTTTCCAGTACTTAAAGGGGCTACAGGAAAGCTGGAGAGGGACTTTTGACAAGGGCATGGAGTCATATGACAAGGGGCAATGGATTTAAACTGAAAGAGGGGAGATTTCGATTGGATCTAAGGAAGAAATTGTTCACTCAGAGGGTGGTGAGGCACTGGCACAGGTTGCCCAGAGAAGTTGTGGCTGCCCCATCCCTGGCAGTGTTCAAGGCCAGGCTGGATGAGGCTTTGGGCAACCTGGTGTAGTGGAGGGTGTCCCTGCCCATGGCAGGGGGGTTGGAACTGGATGATCTTTGAGGTCCCTTCCAACCCAAACCATTCTGTGATTCTATGATTCTAAATCCAAAGTGCTTCCACACTTCTGTTGGTGCAAGAAAGAATCATAAAAAGTGGGTTTGTGGAAAGAGATCCTTAAATTGAGCAGGAGAGGAGAAAGAACAGAAACTTTAAAATGTTGTGGGATTCCTACAATTCCTGTTCTCCTTACGTGGGTTCTTTAGCACATACCATGCCCCCCAGTAGACCACAGTGGTAGGAGTAACGCAGTGTGTCATGGACTTTGATGTCACCTAGATGCTCCTGACCCGCAGCTGAACGGCTCTCCTCTGGCAGGACAGGAGGTGTTGACAAATTTCTTTCAGAAGTGCCAGATGGTTTGAAAGCCAGGTGCTAGCACGGGAGCACGAGGCGTTTGGAATGTCAGACTCCTCATATCAGCCAGTGAATTGTCTGCTTGACAGACACTCGCTTTGGACTGGCTATATATTTTTTAAATTAAATGCCAAGCGTGATCTTTAGGCTGTGCTCCCCCACGGGGACATGAGGCATTTCAGCTTTCCTTGCTGCTTCTCCCTCAAACGACTTTTCTTTCTGACCTCAATTTAGGAGGTGAGAGTCAATGCTAAGTGATTTATTATTTTATTTATTGCTTACATGGCACTGTTGTTGTGCCTGGAGATT